TCCAGGCAGGGAGGAAACACCACTGTTTCCCTTATCTTGATCAAGTTTTGTCAGAGACTTCTGCACACAGTACTGGCAATTGCTCCAAGCGTTTTAGCATGAGAAGCCACGTCCAGTTCCCCTGTAAGTTCCTCACTAAACACTTGGTTTACTTGTGTTATGGAATAGGTGCCATAAAGCAAAACATCTTTCTCTGTTCTGTTGCTGTTACTGATTAAATCTTCCATCCAAAGACATCTTTTTCATGCACCAAACAGTACGAAGCATTGCTGACTCTCAACCACCTTATTTTCCTTGTGTGGTTTCCCTGAAGCATTTGAGGAGCAGTGGGTGAGGTCTGTGTATTTGCTCAGCAGGATTAAACAAAGAGATAGGACTGTTTGCGGACTTCCACGAGCTGAAGTGCAGCAGCTGATGAGAGTTTTTGTTGGGTGAACTCAGTAGCCTGTTTGAACAACGAAAATGAATCCTGTTCCTGCGGGGGCAGAGGTAACTCAGGGGCATGCACAGTGCCAGGGTGTCACAGTGCACACTGTGAGCTCCTTTCAGAGGGTGTCAGGATGGGTTTTTCTCTGAACCAGGTTGCCAGTTTCTCAGAAAAGTGCATTAATACCTGGTAGCAAAGCTCGGGGATCTCTTCTGAACTTTGTTCTCACTAATATGCTTAATCTTCCCTTAATCCCTGAGTTGATGTTGTCCTTTCTTTTCTAAGACAGTACATGCTGCTGCTGTCTGGCTGCTGCTGGCTGACAGATAAATTAGTTTAGGACACTTGGAATGGTGTCAAATGATGGATTGTATTCCAGGTTCAGGGGTCTAATGAAATAGCAGTGGTGGCAGCCAGCTAATAAAATGACAAGAACCAAGTGCAGCCAGCAACAAGAAAGCCAGAGCTCCTGGGTAACTTCCTAGTAAGCTCAGGCATTGCAGTGAGTGTGACTTGGCAAAGGAAAACAAATCTGCTTCTATCAGTACAAAAAGCAAGGCTCCCACTGCTTTTGATAACAGGCAGCAATGCGATGGAGCAGAGTACTGACAATGAGAAAAATGCTCTTCTGGCTCTTTCCTTACTCTGTTGCTGTGGCAATTCCCAGCCTGCAAACGGCAAGATCCCTTCGCCCTAAGCTTTGCTACTGGAAGATGGGAGGGGAGAGGAATGGGACTGAGACACGTTGACAGATCATCAACGCTATGAGTCAGCAAAATCTAAATGTCTGACTGAAAATCTCATTTGTCCTCAGGGTTTACTGCTCCTGGAGGCTGGAAGAAAGCCTTCTTCCAGTAGTATGGTCTGATGGTGACTCAGAAGGTCCTGCAGCACTTCACCTGAAGTTCTGCTGTAGTCCTGGTTCAGGAGGGCACGTGGAGCAGCAGAATGGAAAGGCTTCTGCTGACCCTCCTGCTTCCAATAAAATGTTTATTTATCTTAAACATAAATCACATTACGTACAGGAACTTAGATTTTTTTCAAAAAACAACTGTGGTTGTCATTTCTCTAGTGAAACTGTGCTCCATTCCTGCTTTTTCCCCTCAGCTCATCTGCTGAAGGCTTTTTCTGCATAGGCAGGAGCTGGGAACTGCTTGCAGACAGGGACATGGAGACACCTTAGGAAGCATTGTGTGCATGTGTTCCACCCTTGTTGGGCTGAAAGTCTGCAGAATGCAGGTGTAAAATAAACAGAAGCACTATTCTGAAACAGAAAACCAAACTGAACGTTTGGGAGAAGCAAATATTAATCTTTGTAATGCCTTTAAGTACTAAAAGTGTGTCTTCTTGTCTCCCCCTTAGACTGCAAACAGTCAATGAAAGAAGATGAGGGGACAGTAACTATTAACAGGAGAGGAGCCATCAAACAAGCCAAAATCCACTACATCAAAAATCATGAGTTTATTGCCACCTTCTTTGGACAACCTACGTTTTGCTCTGTCTGCAAAGACTTTGTATGGTAAGAAGGAAAAATTAAGTTTCCTCCACCCCCAAAAAACTGCAAAATTCACGTCAGGTACATCGAGACAAAACATGACACATAAATTCATATGTGTTTGGAAACTACAGTTGTCTCTTTCACATTAAAAAACAGAACTTGAATATTTTTGCCACTGAAATGATTGAAAAAATTCCATCAGCATCAAGTGAGATCTGCCCTATAATTAACAGCAGCTCTATCACAAGAGAATGGGGTGGGTGGATCTGAGAAAATAATGCTCAAACTTTGAGATGTGAAGTGGCTGATGGCAGAGTAAGGACCTGTAGGGGGCCAGAAGTTGGATCCCTTTCACAGTAAAGCTGTTTTCGTCCTAAGGCAGATCAGGAGGATTTCCCATGTGATTGAAATTTTTGCCATTTCTGGGTCCCCCTCCTAATTTGCTGGTCTGTCAAACCAAAGTACCTTACCTTCTAAACCTTGCTTTCCTAAGACAGAGGATTCTGATTAGCAGAATTTAGACCAGTTTATTAATAGGAAAAAATATTCCCATAGACAAAGGATTAATTGGTTGACCCGGTAAAAATGATTTAAAAAAAAAAAACCCTGTCTTTTATTCCTGTAAATGTATGGTTTTTTATTTCCTTCTTTAACATTTGTTTTTCAGGGGACTCAACAAGCAGGGATACAAATGTAGGCGTAAGTTGATTTTTTTTTTTTACATTTTTCTTCTACTGCTTTTCACGTGATTCTGAAGATCTGATAGTTACTGTTGAAAAAAATCTTCTGTAAATATGCATAGCACAGTGCATCATCACCATAGGTGGTAGTAGTAGATGTTAAATATCAGTTTTGCACAATAACTGAAGGAATATAATTGAGATTCCTACCTGGGTTTTTAGTATCAAGATTTAGACTCAGCAGTTCTCAGAAGAGTTTAATGCTGTTGAAAAGTTGCACTCATTTATGACAGCAGCTTTTGTGAAACCTTTTCTAAAATGAATTACAACTATTAAGAGTTTTTTACAGCTGAATTGAAAAGCTCTTTTGACTGAGCATAGATCTCTGTGCATTACTCCAAACAGAGAGGAGATATCAAAGGCTAAAACACAAAAGCATAATATTATTCTTCTGTTATCAAATGCTGGTAGCATTGCCTAATGGAGGCTGATTTAGCTTAGAAATAAAGTTTATGATCAAAGAAAAGGTGGGGGGTGGGGGAATAAGCTCAAAAAAGATCATCATCTTGATGGAAAAGAAGTTTTTGGGGTTTGTGGTGTGATGGAAAGATGTGTTTTTCACATTCTGCTATGAAATGCAAACACCTCATCCCATGTATTTATTATCTGAAGGAATCCTTTTTTTTCTTGTGCATGTCTTGAAGAATGCAATGCTGCTATTCATAAGAAATGTATTGATAAAATCATTGGGAGGTGCACTGGTACTGCAGCCAACAGCAGGGACACAATGGTAAGAGCTGGAACAATATATTTATATTGTAATTATGTAATTAAACACTCCTGAACTAACAAAAACCTTGTATGGAAACTGCCAACTCCATTTGGGAGATGCTTGGCTGTACAACCCGAGTGACTGTCTTCTCCTGAAGTGAACAAAGTTCTCAAGCATGAACAGTAGTCCCAAAGCCCCACGAGCAGTTGGGTGGTATTTGACGGGCAGATCCTTTCCCTGCTAGATGAGGGATGTAAGGCTAATATAAAATTGTTGTAGGCTTGTAATATCCAAGCAGTTTTCTGTCAGAAGCTGGTCCTGCTCTGGGCAGTGCCTCACCCCCATCTCTCCCGGTGCTCAGTTCCAGAAGGAAAGGTTCAACATTGACATGCCTCATCGCTTCAGAGTGTACAACTACATGAGCCCGACCTTCTGTGACCACTGTGGCAGCCTGCTCTGGGGGCTGGTCAAGCAAGGGCTCAAATGTGAAGGTGAGGAGGGGAGGGGAGGCAGCTGGGACCTCTCCTTGCTTTCCCAGGGTTCCATCCCCACGGCTACACACCCTGCATTTCTCTGTGTGTTGTGTAGGATGGGATTCATCTCATCCATGCGGGTTGGAAAGGCTTCTGTACTAAAGAGAGACAAAGAGGCACTTGGCTCATGTGACAGCTCAGCCAAGGTGAGCTGCTAATGGAGTCAGGGAACACACTGTGGAGGTGTAACCTTGAGTATAATCAAAATTACTACCTTGGGAATAGCTGAAATTTGGTGGTTCCGACTCAAGGTAGCACCTAAAAGTGTATTGAAAGCGTTTACTGTAAATACTGCTTTTATAATTCTCCCACAGGAAGGCAGAATGAACCTTATTGTAACAGATTTTGAGAATAAAATAATGGTGATAGGAATTTTTTCCTTGTGAACAATTTTTGTAGCCTTCATTGAATTAAAGATAAAAACTGCAATTTTGTTAACAATGACAGGCCTATGTCCAGCCTGGTCTTACAACAAGGTTTCTGAACTGCACAGGGAAACAACCTTTTTGTTCCAATGTCAGACACTATTTTCCTGATGCTTGTATAACCATCCTTACGTTTCTTTTAGAATGTGGGATGAATGTGCATCATAAATGCCAGAAGAAGGTGGCAAACCTATGTGGAATAAACCAGAAGTTGCTAGCTGAAGCTTTAAATCAAGTTAGCCAGGTATGCTTTATTGCCATTTCAGGTAATTACTTGTTTTCAGTGCATCTTGGGGTTTTCACATCATCTTTTCTGTATCACTTTTATGGGGAACTGAGTTTGGAATGGAGGAAATGCAAACAGCTTTCTCTTTTTTAATTTGATACGTAAAGAGACTAACAAAGATATCAATAGCCTAAAATGGGAATGGGGGGAGGAGGACCCCACTTAAAGAATTTTTTAAAAGGTTTGTGGTTTCCTGAAGCCCCAGTTCTGTGGTGCCGAGGTTATTCTCACCCTTTCTGTTTAGTTGATTAAACAGTGGAATCATAATTGTGAAGTCTGTTTTTACGTTTCAACTTTAAAATTCCACCTGAATGATAAAATTAAATGAATAAAGAGGAATATACCAGATATTCTCAATTTTTATTAATCATATATATATATATATATATATACACATACAGAGAAAACTCCTCTAATTAACACTGGCCCCATAGCTTGTTCATCTCCTGCTGCAGCATGACTGTCTTTTGTGGCTGACTTCTGACTTGCAAATAAAGACTCAGACACAAGCCCTGAAATAAAACAGGAAAATATATCACAAAAGCCAACAGTGCTTCCTCTGAGCTGTGTATTCTTAAGCTTTCACAGGATATTTACTTTGGAAACAGTGAGAGCTGTTGTGCCAGCTCTTTCATGACCCAGAAAAACTTAATCTTTTCCTTACTAAAATTTGGTCTTGGGGATCTTTCACACATAAAATTTGTTTCTATGTGCTAAAGATGGATGTCATACACAGATATGACTTAAGCCTGTCCAGTATGACAGTGACTCCCATCTCCTCATTCAAATGAACATACATCCAAGGGGACATTTTCCCACAGTTTAATTTGTTCCCACTGTGAATCCAAACCACTGTACCTTTAATAATTTTGCAATGAACAATACAACATAGACTGTCCAGGAATTTCGGTGACTTATTTTCTTGCAGTGAAGGAAATAAAGCAATTGGCTGATCTGAAGCTGTAAAGAAAGTGGCTAAAGAGTCTATGAACCAGACTTCTTGAGAAAAGATGTGTACTGGGAGTTAATAATTAAAAAGAAAAGTTTATACTGCCATCACGTTACATTTACAGATATTACTGTATTTCTAAAGTAGTAGAGCTAATATAATTTCAAGTGTTCCCTCTCCTCAGAAGTCTACACGAAGGTCCGATTCTGGGTCTGTAGAAAGTGTTGGTATTTATCAAGATTTTGATAAGAAACATAAAGCTCCAGGAGGAGATACAACAGGTAAGAAAAGGGAAAATGTTTCCATATGGCCATTTACTTACCAGACAATTTAAGTATTTATTCTTGCCTTGTGTTAGACAATCTTTTTTAATAAACACTGTTAAAAAAAAGGCATGTATTTCTTTTTACCATCTCCTGGCCACACAAAATTCTTACATAACATTTGACAAACACCTGGAATCCCATCTCTGTGAGTTCAGAGTAAAGTTTTGTTTGGTGTTTGTTTTTTCACTATTGCTAAAGACTTCAAGCATTGTATAAGCTTATTTTCATTACTGCTAACTTATGATAATTTATGCAAAATTAAATGCAACAGCAGAAGTAATGTTTTACCAGATGGAAATGACCAGACTCAGTAAGAGATAATGTGTGGGTTTGGTGTGTACAGGATTTTATATATTCATCCATACATTGAATTAATTCTGTTCAAATGCCCAGTAAAAAAAAAATAATTTATGTCACTTAGCATACTTGTTTTGTTTTGCCAGAACAGAGGGATAAAACCCCCAAAACCTCTTGCAAGTACTACGTCAGGGTGCAGCCCCTGTGATTCCTGCCTGGGTTGTCCCAAATGCTGGGCAGTTACAGGGCACACATGGGATCATCTCATGATTAACATCAGTGTTTTGTTAGTGACCCAGCGGGTCTGTGCAGCAGAGGGCAGAAAAAAAGTTATTAATTTTAGGATATAATCAGGATTAAACTGTATGATCGTGCTACTTAGCCAGCATTGGGCATAAATCAGATCTCTTTATGTGGACAGGCTGAGAGACTGTTCTGTTCTGCTAAGGGAAGATAAATAAATAGTTTGTTTACAAGCAGTCCTTGTATCTTTTTCTCCAAATTATGTTCTATATTTTAGTCACAGGAAAAAGTTAAGGATCTTGATTTTTATAATACCCAGGTATTGCTTAAACCCAGCATCAGGAACAATCACAGGTTCCATTCAAATCCAAATCAAGTACGCTCGAGTAATTTAAACTTTGCTATAAACCACAGGAGCTGACCCTTATGTTTAGGTTCACCAGTATCCCAACAGCAGATGCATTGAAATACTATGCCAGTACCTAATTCCTATCCAGGGATCTGAGTCATGCAGTGTTTTTGCATACACTGAGCGTGGACCTCCCTGTTTTGATCAGCAGATAACAGTGAGTACGATAAGCTCTGGGAGGGAAGCACAGCCAAGACAGCGTCGCGAGCTGCAAGGAGAAAATTCAGCATAGACAGCTTTGTCTTCCACAAAGTACTGGGGAAAGGAAGCTTTGGAAAGGTATGTAACAAACTTGGAGAGCTCAAGGTGTCTGCCTCGCTTGATCTCTGCAGTGTGACGGGCTATTTCCATTAACCAGAAAGGTCTTACAGCTCCTTGGGTTGATAATCTTCTAACAGAATTGTGTATAGACATCTTTGTCAGAGACACCAGAAATTCATTGCCTGGATCATGTCTAAACTCAAGTGTGATTCATAATGCACAGCACTTTGTGGGTTGTTTAGTATCAAGGCAGAGGACTCGCCCTTTATGCACCACAGTGCAAATGGATATTTTAGATTCATGCCCTCTGTACAGAAACAGCCTCATAATGCCCCAGTGCAGGGGCAGGGGGATATTTGGGAGAGCAGTGTAACCTCCACGACCTCTGTCCGCTGCTCTCTGTGAAACTACAGCTCTAGGGAAGGAACAGGCTTTACGTGGCTGTTGTTTATACACTCACAAGACATTGACAGAAAAACCGCTGTGCCTGAAAACTACTGTGCCTGCATCTCCTCATCTCTATGTCCAGCAGCTTCACACTCCCAAATCGCCCTTATCTTTCCCATTTAAATGTATTTTTTGAATTGTCACTGCACCTGCTATGAACACCTTTGACTTTCCCTTACTGATACCATCAGTAGGAAGTCTTTCCTAGCCATGCTGTAACATCACCCTTTACTCTTTGTAGGTTCTGCTTGCTGAGCTGAAAGGGAAGAATGAATTCTTTGCTATCAAAGCCCTGAAAAAAGACGTGGTGCTAATTGATGATGATGTGGAATGTACCATGGTGGAAAAGCGGGTCCTTGCACTTGCATGGGAAAATCCATTTCTCACACATCTTTACTGCACGTTTCAGACAAAGGTAAGAAAAAGCCCAGTAGTGACAGTAACACAACAGGTCGACCCTTTCAGTGGATGCTGTTAATTGCAGTCAAATGAAAGTAACTTAGTGGTGCAAGAATTAAGTTTCCTTTTCTTGTGCTCTGTTCTGTGCAATAGTTCACGGGCCTTGTGGAAAGTAAATATGAGTAGGACCAAAAATACGTTGATGAGGACAGAATGAGATCAGAAAAATATCTATGCAATCTAGAATAAGAGGCAGTTTAATTTAAATCCTTGATCCGAACTTTCCCCTAATGAGGGGAGAAAAGATGACTGTCACAGGTAAAAGTCAGTAAGTCTGTTTAAATGTGTATTTTTATGAAGTCTAGAAACCCACAGAATACAAGATTAGCTATTTATCTTTACAAGACCAGGCCACTCAACTCTGTAGGAGCCTTCCAGACTCTCAGGGAGTGCATGAAACAGAGAAATCCTTCAGCAGAGGAGGCTGCTTGGTCCCCCATAGGCACATTGCTACTTCATCTGTGGTTGGAACAGCATCAGTAATTGTTCCATTCCCTGGTTATTTGCAAACAGGATCATCTGTTCTTCGTTATGGAGTTCCTGAATGGGGGAGACCTGATGTTCCACATACAAGACAAGGGGCGTTTTGATCTCTACAGAGCAACGTAAGTCCACAACCCTTCATTCCCCATCTCCAGGAAGGATTTTAGTCTCTGGGTTTACTGCTGCTGCCCCTTACTTGCCCTGGAATTTCAATGGCTGATGATTGAAAAGGCATTTCTAGGCACTGGTTTAATACAATGAAGAAGTTCACTTAATGATGTGTGGAGTTAGGCCTTCTTAATTTACACAGTGTGATGTTTTACTCTATGAGATGCTTGTAACTAGAGGTGCAAAACAGACTGCAACATCAGCCAGCAGTGAAAAGAAAAAGGTACAGCCTCAGTGTCCTTTGGGACAGTATTTTGATGGAAAAAAATTGCAAAAATAATTAGCACTTAGATTATTGTTATGATAAGTTGTCATGATAGCACAGGAACACCTGTACCTTTCACAAGATACTAATAAAATGGGTGCTTTGTTTAGCAAGTGCAGTTGTGTCAGTTACCTATGGCTGAAATTTTCAGCTCCAGTGATCTTTAAAAGATGCAAAAATATTTTATTATTATTACTTTATCTATCATTTTTAGTTTGAGGTCAGTTTCTACTTCTCTCACCCAAAGCCATGAGAGATTTAATTGTAATATTGAGTGGGTGCATGCAAGACCTAAAAAGTAACAGTGCAGGGTAGTGAACCTACCTATAAGCATCAGGAAAATTACTTCTGTTACTGGGCACTGTACTAAGGAACGTTGACTGGATGGGATCAGGTCAAGGAGTCTGGCATAAATAGCAGCCAGCTGTATAGGAAAGGGCAAGCTCCCTTCCCACTCTCCCCAGCAAAAATCTGGATAAAGCTCCTCCAGCTTACCTGCATTCCAGCAAACATCTCTGCATCTGGCAGCCTCTCCTGGTATCCCCTCAGCCTATTTGTGAAGTTTTGGGTCAACATTCATTCTGCTCTACAGAAGCGGAAATAGTTTTATAATCGTTCAATTAGAAAAAAGCCTTTAATACTTCTTGAGGCATGGGGAAGCATTCTTTTAGTGTTTTCCTTTATCTCCTCTGGATTATCACCTCTGTTTTTGAGGAGATTACTCCTGAAATGCTGCTACTTTTCTGTTTACAGTCTGTTCCAGCCAGGCAGGTGCAGGGGCAGAGAGGTGATGCCTGCTTCTAACCTCAGCATTAGTGCCCAGTCCCTCCTAAAGCAATCCTTGAGGACTGAGCTCCCAGTAGCTGTCTTTCAAAAGGCATGTGCATATCACTAAAAACACACAAACACTATTGTTAAAGAGGAGAAAAGGGACAGTGTTCCCCGAGGGAAGTGGAATGAAGCGTTATGGCAAGTTGCAGTCGTGTCCCCTCTGCTGTTTGGTATTGGACACTGCCGATGTGTGGTGAAGGGATTAACCTGCAGCTTTAGAGCATCTTGTCTACATAAAGTAGGATTTAAAGGCTTGTACGGTGCTTCTCAATCCATGAAGAGATGCTTACAGCAATATCTTGGCTAACTGCATTGGCTGTGTTGGTTTTTTCAGGTTTTACGGAGCTGAAATTCTATGTGGGCTCCAGTTTCTTCACAGCAAAGGCATTATTTATAGGTGAGTACCAGCCAGCTCCAGGGTGGGACCTGGAGTTTGTCTTAGCACTTTGAGCATCTTTGAGTTCCTGATTGGTGTAACAAGTACAAGCTGTCTGTCAGTGATCTGATGTAGTTCCAAGGCCATTAACATGCTTGACATGAATCTCTATTTGTGTGGGTTTTTTCCTTGGCAACTAGAGTGATGGAATGATATTTGTGTAACACAAAAGCAGTTTTGTTTCAGGTATTTTTAAGCACTGCCTTCAAATCATGAGTCTGTTTAGTTTGGAGGTGAGGGAGAGGGTCCTTGAGGCTTATCAATCCCCACTGGCCTCGTGCAAAACAGTGAGGTGAAAGTTGCCTGGTTTTGCCTTCTGGTGAAACCACAACATCGGCGCTTCTGCCACACCAGGTTGAAGCATCAGAGGCCAGACCCTGATCCACTGCTTCTGACTGTGCATATCCACACTACAAGAAATCAGAAGTTTATTTTAATGTAGTTTGCCTCTCAATTTCAACCCTTTCACCTCACCCTCAACTTGAAAGCACTGTTTGGTAACTACTTGCTCAGACATCTCTCACCTGCGTAACAAACAGGTCCAAAGAATGATGTCTCTGTGCTTCAGAGCCTTACAAAAGGCCTTAGGTAAACATGCCCCAAACATCTGGTATTGTCCATCTCCCTCTATAGAAACAGGAAACATCTGTTGGAGCATCCATCCTTCAGAGCAATTTTCTGAAGTTGGAGTCTAGTTAAAAAGCATTTGTAAAGGGGAGGAACCTTACAGGAATTCTTGGTGAAGAAAGACAATTCTTAAAAACACATCTACCTCTCAGAGAAGACAGCCATAATCCAGGAAAGTACATAACATTCCCAGCTCTATTCCCATAGCCTCCTGAAGGTTTTTATACAGGAAAGGATCAAACTGTTTTCAGCAGCATAAAATCCTTCCATCCCAGATTTTTTAAAGCATTTTTAGGCTTGCTGTTAAATTTCCCTACCTTAAATTAGACTGCTCCTGGGGGGAATTTCATAGTATGAAATATTTTCAGAGAAATGGTACCCTTTTCCAACAAGACACCAGCAAAACCAATGGTACTGTTTTTTCCCACCTCACATAAGATGTTCACCAGTATAACCCCTGAACCTGACTCGGAGCAATTTTAAGGAGGTGTTACATGTAAGTGCACATCATACAAAAGATTTTAGGACTTGCTGTAGCTGGGTGAGTGTAGTGCCCTAAGTTACTGTGAGTATTTCCCATCTCATATGTATTCAATTTGCTCAGGTGAGCAGCAGCTGGTGTCCAAACATGGAAGGATTCATGGTGCACTGCATTAGATCAGGAACTCTTGCTCTGAGCTGCAGCTCACGCTCTGAGCAATGTGAGTGAGTAGCTGATACTGGAAACTTCAGCTACCCAAGAGAAAAGACTGCCCTGTTCTTATGTTAAATTATCTGCTCTATTTCAGTCTTTCTTGGTAAGCTGAGGGCTGTACAGTTTTCTCTTCAGCCTGCCCTCCTTGGTATGTGCATTTGCAACCAGATGGACAAAAAAATGCATCATGGTCAAAGGGAGGGAATGTAGCTTTTGGAAACTGCTGGGAAAAAGCTCTTACTTGATTGAATAGTGTTATTCTGAAAAAAAAAGGCATGAATAGGACACTTCACAGGCTGTGGCCACAACACATGAGCTGGTGCTGTAACCAGGAACAAGTCACAGGTAGTGTTAAGAGCTGGGGCAGGCTTGAAACAATCACACTCCTGCCAAAGGCTCTCAGAATCCAACACAATCCTTCTTTTGAGCTCCAGAGCTGGTGCAGCACTGCTGTGTCAGCTGCTGGGGCATTAACTCACACTGCCTTCCAGAAGCAACAGAAGTGTTGGCTGTGCTTTTAGATCTGAAAGCAAATGTAGAGGATTATAAGGTCACACTCTATATATGTACCTCAGCCTCTTATTTTGTCTGACCAGAGAATTCTTCCCTTGTCCCTCCTGCCTCCAATGCACAAAAGTATGGGTTGTGTTGATGGATGATTATTTCCTTGCAAAGCTTCTGTTCTGCTGCAGGGAGGTGTTTATCAGTGCATCTGAATAAAAAAATGACTCACTTAAACCACAACTCTTTTAAACACTTTTTGCAGAGACCTAAAACTGGACAACGTGATGCTTGATAAGGAAGGCCACATCAAAATAGCCGATTTTGGAATGTGTAAAGAAAATGTTGTTGGCGAGAACAAAGCGAGCACTTTCTGTGGAACCCCAGACTACATCGCTCCCGAGGTCAGTAAGGCACAGCCACATGTTGTGGGATGGATTTAATGCACTGATGTTAGAAATGGCTGCTGGGATTAATCATCTCTTTGTAGACTAATAGTTCAGAAAAGCTGAAGTCTAATTAGCACGGAGAAAAAATTATACCTGAGTTCTTTATAGAAGGTACTTGAAATTCTTAAGTGTTTTACAGCTGCAAGTTTAAAAACATGGTTTTGAAAAGTTAAAATGCTCGGTTTTTTAAGAGCTTGGGGTTTTTTGTAGTCAGCACACACAGAGGGCTCCCACAGAATGAATCTATCTGTGTGCACTGCAGATGGAGAACAGACTTGTGCCCCTGCAAACAACTAGAATTAAAACAAATTCCCCTTCTAAGGGGAATCTCACTGAGTTAAATTCCCTGTGTTGTATTTTTTTTTTAAATCTTATTTGCAAAGTAGCCCAACTGGGGTATTAGGTTTTAAAGCTATAAATTATGTCAAAGCCTGTCTAGTAGTAAGTTACTTTTCATCACTACTTGCTTCTCCCTTCATCTTGTAAAGACTCTAGAGAAGATGTTTTCCAAGTATATGGTTATTTAAAGTTAATGGAGAAAACTTCTGAATGAGAGCAAAGACCTGTCCACAGAGCTGGCCATGTTCCCACAAACAGCAGCCAAGGATAAAACCACAGATGTGCATCAGTGTCCACAGTTTCTCAGAGAGATGGATTTCTTTTCTTTCCCTAAATGCCCTCGTTATTAAAGATTCTCTCTTAAAATACCTCTCCTGTTTTTTGGGATATATTGCTTCCTTTTACTAACTGCTTGTATCTCTTCCTCTGCGGAACAAGATCCTGCAAGGTTTGCGGTACACGTTCTCTGTGGACTGGTGGTCATTTGGGGTCCTGCTGTACGAGATGCTGATTGGCCAGTCCCCTTTCCACGGGGATGATGAGGATGAACTGTTTGAGTCAATCCGAGTGGACACCCCTCACTACCCACGCTGGATTACCAAGGAATCAAAGGATATATTAGAAAAGGTAGGACTGATGATCAACATGTAGGTCCTGGTACTGTCTCTGTCCAAGGAGGGGCAAATCTAGGCTTTGGACAGGAGCTGTTTCTCAGCAAGCAAATTGCTCTTACAAAGAGAAAGCCGGGTCAGATTAATTACTAATGAACTGTTTACTGGCAGCAACCTCAGTTCTTTTAGCAGTGTATGTGTTATTCTTCCCCTGCCACATACCTTTTGAGCAGATGAAAGGCTTTACCAGCTGTCTTCTCTTGCAGCTCTTTGAAAGAGATCCAGCAAAACGACTTGGGGTCACTGGGAATATCAGAGACCATCCTTTCTTCAAAACAATCAACTGGACAGCGCTAGAGAAGAGGGAGGTGGACCCTCCTTTCAAGCCAAAAGTGGTACGTGAGTTGTTCTTTGTTCTGTAGCAAACAGCAGCTTCAGGGGAAGGGGTGACTTCTGTAACCTGCTCAAAGTATGCTAATGCCATTGTCTCCTCACATTTTACAAATGACAAAGTTATATATATGTAACCCCCTTGTTCTTGGATGGTTCAGTTATAACAAGGTGCACTGTATTGCTTTGACTGCCCAGAAATCTTCCTATTAAGACTTGCCTTCCTGTGCACTCTCAGGGAGCTTCTTCATGAATAAAATCTTCAGGAAAACCAATGGATAGTTCTGATCCCCGTTCTCCTCTGGGTTAGAAATGTTCATAGTTCCTTGTGGTTTCCTTTTCTGCAATGCCACATGGGAGAAGCACCAGTAGCTTACTGGAACAGGTGAAATGATATGGAGGTAACAGTCTCTTTAAGTTGTACTTATGTACTCGATGGAGGAGAGCTGGCCTCTTCAAGAACGCAAGGTTTCACATTCCCATAGAAGTGGGAACTCTGGAACCCTAAGGATCCTACAAACAGTAACCTTTGGAGGTTCACAGTGTCTTTAGTAATCTTTAGGAATGTGAATTTTTGTGAAACACACACACAAATATTTTATCCAGACACAAAGCAGCTGCTGTAGCACACTGCTTTTTTTCCTCTGAATAATTACAGACTGTAAAATGCTCTCAGAATATAAACATTTTGGTTAATGGCAAGAAATACTGGGTTTACATATAAGTAAATGCTGCATTGTTATTGCCAATAGATAATATTTGGGTAATTGTGCAGCATTATCACAAATGCATGTGGTTCTTCTCCAAAGCAAGCTGGTGCTATTTGGGGGTCTTTTTGTTTGTTTTCAACTCCTAATAAATAATCACCCAGTTATCATCTTACAGTCTTGTTAAAATAGGCTAAAATGAGATTTTTTTTTTTCTCTCTAAAGCAGGGTAAGAAGGGGAGGGAGCTCAACTTTTTGTATTTAAGTAATTTGTTCTGGAATAAATTAAGAAGTTTGTCTCAAACTGTCTTTCCTCTCTAACACAGAAATCAGCAAGTGACTACAACAACTTTGACAGAGAATTTCTGAGTGAGAAGCCAAAATTGTCCTACAGCGACAAAAACCTGATTGAGTCCATGGATCAATCTGCATTTGATGGATTTTCTTTTATTAACCCTAAATTTGAACAGATCTTGAACAAGTAGGTCTCTGAACAGTTGGACTTCAAAGCAGGGTTAGACATTACAAACCCACACTCCCAAGTGTTAATGCATTCCAACGACGTTGTCGATACTTCAGAATAATACACAGTAGTGTGATGAATTATGTCCAACTCCTGATTTATTGGCAGTGTTTTTATGCATGGTTGGGTTTAAGGTATGTGAATCATGTGCATTATTTTCTCTGTTTGGGAAAATGTAAATTCTGTTTGGTACTTGAATGTAGTTGTTATATATATATATATATATATATATATATGTGCTGTATATTTTGCTCGAGAGAAGACATCGGGAAACAGAAGATGTCTTTTTAAAATGTGTTTGAGCCCTTGGTTCTTTTATTTGTCTTCAATTAAAAGAAAGTTTAATGTAACTTTCATTCATGGCTCTATGATTTTTAACAATATACAATTAAACTCCAGTTGTCTTTAAATTACAGTGGAAAAAAATAATACTTTGTAAGCCCTGGTTGCTTTCCTAAAATATTTATGTTGGTTTTTTATGTGAATTAACTAATGAAGAATCAGGCAAAAGCAGAGATTCCTAGTGTAACACCAGCTGCTCTGCGAAATGGCTCCATGCTGCTTTTGAAGAGTAAATGCTACACATTTATTCCAAGGCAGTCCAAGCAGGCAACAGAGGCCTGAGCATCCCAGAGCAGCCCCATCCTGCCTGGGAATGTGGGGGTCTGCCATTAAATGCCAATTCCTGTTAACAGAAAGAGGCACCACGCTCAGAGCAGCTGATCCCAGCAGGACAGAACTGCCAGGTAATGACTCTGTGGAGCTCTTGAGTTACTTGCCTGCTCTGCCCGAGAGGAATTTTCCTGCTTTACTGCCAAACACAAAATCCAGTCTTGTTTACTTGTTTGTAACACAGCAGCTGTGCCTCCTACTTGCTATTAAGGGCACCAAACTAGATCCTGCTTTGTTGCAACACCTACTTCTGAATATTGATTTTTTTAACCACTAATGAGTAAAAAAAGCTAATGTTATTGCTGTAAAGCTCCTTATAAAACTCTTCTCCTTGCAATCAGCTCCTAAAATACAGACTGAGGCAAGGTCCCTTGCTTCTCAGGATCTTTCTGCATCTTGCAACACTACTGCAAATTATTTAATTTTCTCAACACTGAGCAAGTGGAAAAAAAAGTGTCTGGGTGTCAGTTCATCCAGGAGTTATACAATGCTCCAGAGCTCTTAGGAACACTGTGGAGCTTCTGGGTAGTTTCAGACTGTTAATCCTGCTGAAAGAGCGGGAGAAAGCTGTAATACTTTGTAGAGACTCAAAAGAATACAGTGCTGCCTTTGTTCTTCTCCTAAAGAACAGCTCTAGCAATGCCAGCAGGACTCGGATGCCATCTGAGATTGAGGCTGGAAGGGGCAGCACACAGCTGGCATTTCCAAACAGCCAGGGTTACCACCACACCTACACAACCCCCTGTCCAAGGGGGAACAAGCAGTGAGGTGCCCCAGGGAGAGCAGAAAACGTGGATTTTTTCCTTCACATACCCCACGAAGAAATTTCTAGTTTGCTGTTTTTCACCAGAAAGTGATTTTTGCCTTCAAAAGTGAGTGCTGGGCACTTGCTCCTGAGCAGAAATGCTTTTCTAGGTAAGAACTTAAAAATGTGGGTGCCAGCAGCATGGGGTAGTTGGATGGCAAGAAGCTGTGATGAATTACAAGTAGTAGTAAGCGTTGTTTGTGGTAACAACTGCTCCCTGCACTTACCTTCTTCGCTCTGGAGTAACCAGTGCCAAGCCTGCTCAAGAGAGATCATGGTCTTCACACAGCAACTCTTCCAGCTGGCATCTGACTGACCTACCAGGAGCAGCTCCTGCTGCCACAACTGTGCCTTCTGCCAGCCTGACTGCACACAGCACAGACACCTTTCCTCCGTGGAGCAGCTCCTCCATCCCTCCATCCCTCCTCGTGTTCAGCCACTGCACGAGGCCCTGCCCTGCACCACCGGTACCTCCTGACAGCACAGACACAAAAGCTCCACAGCCTGTACAGCTCCTCAGGCCTCCTGGATGAAGTGCTGCCCCCCAGGGCCACCTGCCAGGCAGCAAAAGTCAGGAGTTCACTCACCCATCAGGTCTAGGTCATCCTCATACTACAGGAAGATGGAGGTATTAAAGCATTTTGTCCAGAAATCAGCCTAAAAGCTCTAAAATAAACAAAAAAAATCACCTCCCTTCCAAACAGAAATACACATTGGAGTGAAAAACAACAAAAACACTCCTTCCACTTAGCAAAGAAGATACATTGGTTACCACCCCAGGGCATACAGCCATCAACAAGACATGAAAATCTGAATATGTAACTCTAAACCACAAAGCAGTAATTAATTTTGTCCTTATCCTTCAGAATGACAAGTACCCCTGCAAATTTAATGCCCTCCACCTAATCTCTGCATGCAAACTTGTACTGACAGGCAGCACTTGGAAGACAATGTAAGAACAGTGTAGCTCTGAGGGCATGGATCAGATCTTAATACCAATGACCAGGTAAAACTAATAAAGTCTTACCTTTCTCTTCCACTGCGTGAGAATCTTGGCTTGTATTTATTTAATCAGTTCTTCCAATTCCTTCCTCCATTATTGAGTTTGTTACTTAAATTACAATTATTTGCAGAGTAAGGCAAACACTGCAGTGAATGAATTTAATTCTTAAGCTTCTGGATAAGCTCTCTTAACCCAGCTGCAATTCCTACGGCTGTGGAAATTGTGGACACCTGCTGAGGTGCAGGAACGCCCACCTGGCACTTCAGCCACTGGAACTGGACATGGAAAGAAACACACAGGGGTGCACATTGTAGCATTTGATCTTTATTACTTGGATCAAAGGTCAAATGATTACATTTGTCTGAAAGATCACGACGAAGGCCAACAATGTAAGACAAGACAGTTTAATCCCATTCAAGAGACTGCATCTGAGCCAGGCAAGTGCAGTAACAGTCAGAGGCAGTAAATGGGTACAAATACAGACAAGGGTTTTCCCCTCCCCTGTCAGTGACCATTCTGTCAGGAGGGGGGGACATACACTTTTAGAAAGTGACAATAATCTGCATTTCTCAACTGTGCCCTCCTAGAAAGGCAGTGAGAACCAGGAGAATCCATCACTCAGTCCAAGTCTACATTCACCTCAACTCTACATTCAAATACAAATACAAATTTACACCTGCTCTTGCCAGCCCGGGTCAGATGCAGTCACTGATTTAGTACCTTCTTAACGCAGAACAGACAACTTCATTTTTTTTTTTCTCTTCAAGTATCAGCACAACAGTTTATTTACACTTGTATACAATTCTTTTTACTGAACACCCATTGTAGTAAAACACTCATCACAGTATATTTGAAAGCAGGCTATAAAAATACCTACTGTACATAGAACATTAAGCCTCGAGGATGTTACAGCACCTCTGACAGTTCAGAGAGGTAAAACAAAGGGAGAGAGGAGACACTTCAAGCCATGCTTGCCAGCAAAGAGAAGCAGCCCCTGGGCTCAGCTCTCACTGGGGGAAAATTTTCCTTCCACCAACATTTCTTCAACCAGGTCTGAGCTCAAGAAGTACCACAATCTGCTGGTAAAATCCTGCTTTTTTAATGCAGCCTCCTGGGATTTGTGCTCTGTAGTTACAGATAAACCCTGACATTCTCAGTGTAGAAACTGTTTAACCACTCCTGTCACGGCTGGACAGTGGAGGAGCAAGGGTTTCCTGGCTTTCCCACGCCAAACTGG